CTGTCCCAGCTATTATGTTACTTGTATCATGGCATTCTGCAAATTGTCACTTGTACATCTACTTGCTGCTAGTGTTGCGACAACGCTGCTGCTAGGTGCTGGGTAGAAGGAGGAGTTCCCTGGGGATCGGAAGCCATTCCTAAAACTCCAAGGGGGATCTTCTGCCTCTCTTAGGAAGAGAGTAAGAAACTTGCAAGATTGATGTCAGCCTTGCGAGGTAGTCCAGACAAGAAGCACACCCAGGAGTACTAGCTCTATCTTTATTGTAAGGTTACAGTAACAGAATCTTGCAAGTCTGAAAGTACATCTCTCCCCCTTTGCCTTTACAGCCCAAGAAACTAGGGAAGGTCTCTTCTGAGTCGCTTGCCACCCCTCCTCCTTCAGACTCAAATTTCATTTATCGGACCGTTGTCTCGGTTGCAGCTCTTCCTCTTGTCTCCCAAGGTCATTCCCACAGACCATTACACCTGCATATATATGCATTCATATCCTGTATCAGTGTCATCACCCAAGCTTGCTTCTATATTTATCTATAAATCCATTAAACAAGCAAGGGGACATCACACAGCCTTCTCTTACTTTCTGCTCAAAACTGAACCATTCGCTTAGCATTCCATTTATTCTCCACCTGCTTTAACTCCATCATATACCCTCTAATATTCAGCAAGCAGCACCAGCTCGGTATTTGTGCAACCCATTCCATCATTCAAGCCCATTTGCTATCCTAGGCTTTCTCTAAACCAGCAAAGGGACAATCTCACATACTTAATGTTCAAAATGAAGGAAAAATCTGGTCTGCGCACCCCCTGCCTGACACAAAGCTGCACTGCATTTCCCAATTTTGCTCCTAATTCTGCCAAAACACCTTCCAGGCACACTTAACAAGCAAATCCCTGTGTGGTTTTTGCACTCGCTCTTGTTACCTTTGCCTTTGAATGGGGAACAATAGTAGCACACCTGTAAAAGAAGTTGCAAAGCCTTTCCATAAGTACACTACACCCATATTTTAACATTCACCAATGATGTCATTTACACCTGCAGCCTGATAATTTTTCAACATTCTCAATAGCATGTATTATTTTTCTTTTCGTTCTTTCTTTCTTGGATGCTAATGCCTCCAGCATTCATTTCCACTCAGTTCCACTCCTACCACTTCATTCCCTTGCAAATCTCTCAAAGGCTCCTTCAACATTTCCTCCCTTCAGTTTCATCCCAAATCATTTCATCACTTTTATTTCAAATTCCATTTCACTCCACTGGAGGCTCCTTGCTTTAACTCTCTTCAGCCATGTTCAGAACAGCTTTTTAAAATTTACATCAAAATTGTTCTGCATTTTCTCTGCCTTTAATCCTAACACTTCCTTGCTGTCTTTGACTACATTCTTCGCAATTATTTTTCCTCACTATGCCCTTTATACAATATTTATCTCTTGCCCTCCTTTTTGCACCATATTATTACATTCCCCAAGCAGCCTTTACATATTTCTTGGCACTCAGTAACATCATTCTTTTCACTTTTATAACACCTTCTACATTCTCTTTCCTTATATCCCCTTTCCATTCTTTCTTTTAGATATTAATCTTTTGTCTAATTCTTTTTTCATACAGGATTTGTACTTCCTGCAGTCATTCTATTTTCACTCATTTTTTTCCACTTATTTCCTATGATGCCCATTTTTTCTGACACTACAAAAAGTGGGCTATCCCCCATTCAGAACCTCTCATCACCCTATATTCTTCATTAATTCTCTCTTCCATCATAAACAATTAAATCAGTCATGCTTTTAGATTTATATTCATTCTTCTGTCATGCATGTATGAATACTTAGACTCAAACCACATATTCAAATCGGACCTTTCTCTAAAGACATTCTCCCCATTCGCATTCATTCTTCAGATTACAAATAGCCTCCATCCCGCATTCTATATACTCTTGCCTTCTTCCCATACATCCATCTGTATACTTAGCAAAATAATTTCCCCCTCAACTGCATTCATTCAGAACGTTGCACAACTTTTCTCTGCTACTTTCACGATCACCACTTACATGCAACAATCACGATCCTGTGGATTCCTACTTTCATTTGCACACCCATAATACCCAATATTACACTAATTCATTCTTGCAGGCATACATGTCATGATTAAGCCATCACTTTTGCTTCCTTGCATGCATTCACCAACTCCACAAGAACAGACTACCTTCGTGTTATCTTTAATCTAGATCTTTAATCTAGAGATCACCTTGCAAGCCAACATGCTATTTCCTGCACTTCACCAACTTCACGCAGGCTTCTGACTCACACTCCAGATGCAAAACATATAATGGCCAAATGGAAGGATATTAAGTAGTGGAATGGATCCCACTGATGCACCCAAGTATGTGTGAATGTGCGCCATATAACAGAGTAACTGGAAAAGGGAGGGACATGAATTGGGGTTGAGTTGAATCAATGTGTTTTCCAGCTGTGAAAACTCACATCTTGCACATATGGGTATATTTAATCCAAAGTGGTGCAGGAACCATTAAAGTTACACACTCAAATCTCCACTGAACTGTGAAGCAAAGGATGAGCTTTGGGTGAGCTATTTTTCAGCTTCCCTCCAGAAACTCTCAGAAATCAAATGTGCAACGGCTTCCTTTGGACTGAGATTTCTCCAAGGGTACAGGGTGTGATTCTGCAAATTCAGCCCTCTGTGTCTCATAGCTTTGTTATTTTAAAGGACTGATTTTTAGTCCTTAGGGTTTGGTTAAAAGCAGTTGTGTGCCTGCTGAAATGTCATAAGCCAGAGAAGCAGCTGGCCATGAATGTCAAGTAGTTGTGCTCACTTTACTCTCTTTATGGCTCTTCTGGCCCTCCCCATGACTGTCAAACTGAAAGGAAAAATCCTACAGCATACATTCTGCAAAAGAAAGGGGGGAAAATGCAAACTTCTTTTCCAGTGACATTTGAATTACTTGCTTGTCAGATTATTTTTTTCTGCCTTTCTCTAAGCATGAGGTACCCAACCCTGAACCACAATCATCCCCAAACTCCTTAAGAAGAATTAAACATATAAAATATGTACATCTGTCAACTTTTATAGCACATTATAGAGGGAAAATGCATTCAGTGATGCTCCAATTGAATTGAATTCATCTCAAGGCCATGCAGTCCTTCTCTTGTGAAAAGTGGCTTGCCATCTCCTTATCAACATCTCCTACTCAATACAGCAGTCTCAGAAATAATGGGTCCTTTCCCAAGCCAGACGATGAAACAGGCTGTTATGCGTGGCTGAAGAGCACCATTTTTGCCCCTTCAACTGGGCACAGGGGTTCCTGGGGGTGGTCGAAAAAGTCAAGATTGGCAGCCAGGACCATGCAATTGAAGCCCCACCCTTTAGGTGAGATGCTTGTAAGACAGAAGGGCTTCAATGCTCCTGCCCCCTGGCCTGCACACACCCTGACTGGCCTTCAGTTGATGTTGGAGCAAGAATAGCCAGAAGGGAATTGCCCTTTGCAGGATTACTAATGGAAAACCGCAAACAGGAAAGAGGTTTAATTATTGCTATCTAGCTTATTCTGAAGAATTGAGTCCTTCCTTCCTTCCTGGCTTCCTTCCTTCCTGGCTTCCTTCCTTCCTACCTACCTACCTACCTACCTACCGTGAGTTAGCTTGATAGGACTGATTTATTTTGGTGGGCTTTTAAAATGTAGGGATTATATTCTTGCCTCTTTTCTTTATTTGCCTCTCTTTTTAATTTCCCTTTATACAGGATTCTAGTTTGGTTGGCAAAACAATGCAATACACTGGCTGAGTTCACATACCAAGCATGGTTTGTTCAGTTGAACCACTGTGGCTAAGTTGGCACAAAGCATGCCAAACACCATGGACATTAATAGTGCCGTATAAAGTATAATCCAGGCTCACTCATCGTATACCTCCGGTGTGAAACCAAGGTGAGTTGCTTGGATTGCTTTCAGGGAATTCAATTTAGGATTGTTCCTAAAGGCAACGGATAGAAAATTCCTGTTTTAAGTTCTACTTGTTCAGCAGGTTCAAAGCTTAACAACATCTTAAAGCTAATATAATGATTGCTGAGTAACAGAGACCAGTGGAGGTCCAAAGTGTGTGAACTGTGGGAATCAGAGGTATTTCAGAGATAGAAATTCAGCTGTGACAGAATGGACTTCTGCCAAAACATTCTCCAAAGGCATTCCCCAGATTTGATGGGGCTGCCAATTTCAGAATCTCTGATAATTTTGCCAGTTGGCCTGGAATTCTGGGAAGGGTGGCCCAACCCACGGAAAGCGTGCCAGGCTGAGAAGGCGATTTCTCCTGCCCACAGAAAACCTCATTCAGGCAGTCTCCAGATGTAGCTGTCCAAGGTACTGCAGTCAAAAGGTCCCATTTATCTGGATGAAAGACTGCCAAGGAATACCCAGGCTCTAGGCCATGGCAAACCACTTCCATATTGCTGCCAAGTAAATGGCATTGTTGTAACCATGTAATCAACCCAAGGATGACCTACTTAAAGTAAAACATATTGTGATGTGTGGATCAAGTCTCTGTTTCTACTACATCGAGACAGAGCCTTGATTCACACATCACAATACGCCACCATGTTATTGACTAGTTTTGTCTTAATGTGTTGTGTCAATCCAGCCAACTGCGGTTTATTCAATACATCATAGCCATAGTTTAGCACTGGTGTACCACTGAAAGATCATATTTTTTTTACTGTCATTTAATTTGCTTAAGAAAAAACAACTTGCTTTTCAAATCTCTTTCAGAGGAGAAACTTTTACTTTTTCTCATAGATCAGGAGTGCAAGCATAGCCAACATCTCTTTTGCATCCCTCTGAGTTGTCAATACTGAGTGGGTCCAAAATGTTAAGGTTTGCATTTTTTTTCTCAGCATTTTTGGAGCAATAAAGCTTTAGGCAATGAAACAACTGGTTGGATCTAATGGTTTGTGTATTTGCAAAATTATCACCACACTCCAGTTACAAAGTTGCATCTATGTCACCTTTTATTTATACTGAACAGCTTTTAAAAATACAGAATAAAATAGCTTTTATCTACTATTATTCACAACATCTGGTCCAAATATTACATATTTTTAAATATTTCAACGTTTAATAAAGCAATTGTTAGGAAAAATAAAAGAAAACGGAACAAAATCCATAAAAATTTCAATAAAAGAACTACACACCTCAAAGAAAAAACCCAACTTGGTATGTAACATGAGATTGTGTAGCTAAGGTCATTCACAGAAAACTCATGAAAAGAGATTTATTCCCACTGTCTAAAAAACAGTTAAGAGTTTGTTACAGCAAAAGTTGTTATGAACAGAGGGGGAAAAAAGGGAAAAATGCACTCTAGTTTGAATCAGCAGCAAGATGGTTTACTTGAATAGATGCTGGACAATACACAAGGTAATTAATTTTCTGCTATCAAATATGTATAAATGACTAATCACAGCCACAATGAAATCTTAACAGAACAGGAGTGCTTTGGATATTGCTGGAGATGAGTTCTCAATACTTAAAAGCAGCCCAGCATGGCAGAGACCAACGGGCAGAAGCGAAATACTGGCTAGCACGTGGCCTCCTCACACAGCGAAGGACGAAGGAAACGTGCTGCAGAAGGCAACCCCCGTCTGCTAACCTCCGTCCAGGCCAGTTAAGAAACTTTTCAACGAGGTTCTCTAGATATGCAACAGGCACCATGCAAAGCAAAAACAAAGCCCCTATTTTCTACAGAGAATTGCCCCTAATACCACCTTCTGGTGGTTTTAAGGATTGGTTATTTTGTTCAAGAAGGCCACTGGAAAAAAACAATTTTTTTAAAAAAAGCTCCTTTTGTGCTGGTCTGTCACACAGAGATGGATTGCATCACTCCGGAATGCAGGCATGCATCGGATGGCAAGCGACGAATGGCTGTCCGCTTTACAGCTGGGGGGTGGGGGGGGCAACTACTTCAGGCTTCAGGGTTACCTGGCCTTGGTGTGGAATGCCAAGGGCTTCCCTTCCAAAATGGATTGGGGCCCAAGTAACAGTTCTATTGAATTACAGTTAAATGAAAGCCATTACATAGGTTAACAGGATCCCTCTCGATATGTTTCCCCTGTGATTTCTGGAAGGGCTCTGGGGTCCTTGGGGCAAGTATCTCACCAAACAATTGTTCCAGATGTTTTTGAGTGTGACTGAACTTCCTGAGAATCAGCACTAGGCTGGGGAAAGGTGTCTATTAAGACAAAGACAGCCTCCTGGGAAGAGGCCCTGGGGAGAGAGGAATTACCTGGGAGAAACAAATGGGTCCTGAAATCCTGATGGCTTTTTGAAAATCTGTTCAGGGATGAACCAAACCTGCAGGCAGGTGCACACAGCCTAACCAGCATTTCCAGGACTGCTGCTTCGAGAGAGCACATTAATACAGAATATTTGTTTTAGCAAGTAAGATGGGCTCAGTTTCTACCAATGCTCTAAATCAGTGTTTCTCAACCTCAGCGACTTTAAGAAGGGTGGACTTCCCCAGCCAGTATGCTGGGCATCGAAGTCCCCACTTCCTAAAGTTGCTGAGGTTAAGAAATACTGCTCTAAACAACCCGTTTCTGAACAGGACGCTCTGACCTGTTCCCATCTGCCTCACAGGAAGGTAACCTACAGTTGACATGGTGAGAACTGGACTGAAAGCAAAGAGGAGCTCAGAAGCGACAGAAAAGGCCAAGGTCACACAAGCTGGAAGTTGCCCAACATTTCAGCTGTAACATGGAAACAGCCTGATATTTATACCAGCATTTCATAGACGATAGAAGCTTAAGAGTGGTTTGTGCCACCAGCAAGAAGTTGATGTGTTTTGGTCTGACTGCTTAATCTTTGCATCTGGTTAATATTTTTTGTTAATCAACAGAGTTGGCACAAGATATCTGGGTGCTTGAGGCGGATAATCCCAAAAATAATATGCACCCGTATTAAGATGTGGTCCAATCCATTGGGGATGTTCTCCTACACGAGCCACAGTGAATCAATGGGAGTTGAGCCAAAATCATGGCAACTCTCATTCCCTTCAAATGAGGCCTGCATAAGGAGGATTCTGATTGTTCCTGCTTGGCCAGCAGTTCCGGATCTCTACCCTAAATGGTAGTCAAGATCAAAAATCACTACCTGAGATGGTCACATATCTTGCCTTGTATCTGGACCAGCTCTGCGTTCCAAAGCATTTGTTACAAGTACTGAACTACGTTGCCAGTACCATGTTCTCAGGAGGGAATGACCAAGAAGTCCTCTATCTTCATTTAAGGATACTATATAAACAGGGGTAAATAAAGTATACACAATTGCTAGCAATTTGTCAATGAAATAAATTTATCACATGACACTGTCATGACAATCATTATCACTCCCACCCAGGAAGTCTGATATTTATTATCCTAGGTGGAAATGTCACTTGTTGGGTGTTGGTTTTATTTGTTTTTTCTTTTTAAGTTTATGGAAACAAAATACTGCAATGTTCATGTACAAAGTTGTCACACTGAAAGTCAGTATTAAATGGTGTAAAACAAACTGTGTAAATTTAAAAACCTTTTTTTCCCTGATACAGCTTATTCTGATTAATACATTTTGTTATTCATGGATAAAATTAACAATTAAATATAAATTCAAGAGGCATCATTTTATAAAACACATTCAAACATCTTTGTCAAAATACTTAATTTAACAAATAAGTCATGATACTTTAAAAACAAAAGCTTTCAAATGATTTTGTTCTGAATATTTGTTTTTACATCCTCAACATGACATAGCAGTGTTCCTGTCATTAATATTTCTTTTAAGTTAAACGAAATAAATTTTCCCTTCCATTACACATTCTCTGCACACAACATTCTCTCACGCAGATGGCTGAGAGCCAGGTAGCTGTGCACAAAGACACAATTCAGTGTGTCTTGCTTCTACTTTTTTCCAGCTAAAATACATAGAGACATCTTACACCCTACCTCACACATCAATTCCAAAGGAATATCCATTGATTTCAGGCTTTCTCCTAAGTAAATGGATTTAGGGATTCCTGCTCTTGATTCTTACGTTCAGCTCAGGACACAGCATTTAAAGCCCATCAATAAGCAGCTCAGATTCATGCAGCACTTTACAAACAAACGAATAAAAAGACGCACAGAAACAGTCCCTTCCCTGGCTAAGACATCTGCTGCCGCCTCATCATTCCGCGGAACAGGAAGCGCTTCCAGCCAAACCCTTTGCGCGCTTTAGCTACCAACTCTCCCAAAAAGAGGCTAAGTTTAAAAAACCAAACCAAGTCTCTGAGGACTGACATTTGCTTTCCTTCTGTCCCTGCAGCTGCAGAAACGCTGAACCTTCTGGGAGTTTCGGTCTAGGCGCCATCAATACTGCAACGGACCCCCTCCAAATCTTACATGGGAAGCTACAGCAGCAGGCAGAGTGCCCTTTTCCGGTTGCTTTTGTGGGGTAAACAGAGTGCCTTCTTACATTAAAACCACTTATTCGAAATGGCCTGGGTTCCCTCACGAATTTAGCGACTGCATCGTTGAGCAAATCAGATTGCCACTGTAAATGTTGTGCATCCCAAGCATTTCCTGCAGCTTGCGGTCCTGCTGGCGCAGCTCCTACAACTGAATTAGCTAAGATTAATATACTATTTCTAGGCCATTCGCACTACATTCTGAGGGAGTCTCAGAAAAGCAAGAATTTGTGTCTTTCACGATAGGAGTAGGTCGAATGGAGTTGCCTCTTCCTTGTTTTTGTGTAATAGGCTCTTAAGATCATAATTTCATTTGAAGTGGAATTCCAAAGCCAATAACTGAAACTAAGGTTTGCATCGTGCCGCAGTTGTTATTTGGTATTGCAGTGCTCAAAATACACGTCTCACCAGCAGTGGGCATGGTAGCTGTGTTTCTTATTTACTACACACTCTTACTCATGGGCAAGCCTATTGAAACAAATGTGCACGGCTGGAAAATAGCATCGCTTCCTAATCAAGGGGCATTTGGGTTTGCTTTAGCAAAGCATCAAAGGAGAAGACAATAAAAGAGACTAGGACCAAAATCAGAATATATTACATTCTGCCACTATTATGGCTGTACAACTTTTCACTTCTGTAATGTGCGCAAAAGGAATGGGCTTTGGCATTTTAGAGGATTACAACTACCACCAACACACGGCAGCTGTTCTTTCCACCCTTCTGTCTTTGGTTGCACCTCAATACAAGGGAAAAACTAAACATGCAGTTTGGTCCTTCTAAACCAGTGTTTCTCAACTAATTTAAAACCTGTTGCTACATTCAGTTGCATCAACTCCTCTGCAAATAAGCTTTGTGCTGCAATCCTTCCTATTCAGCTTTTCTTGGAAAGGGGTCCAGATAAATCCAAGGGGACTTCCTGCAGAGAAGGTCCTAGGCCTCAGCAAGCCAAAGGAGGTCTTGTTTTCGAGGAACTGAGCACAAGTTCTGATCTAATCTTTTTTTATAATTAAAAGAGAGGCCATTCTACTTCCTGGCTGGCTTGATTCTAAGGAAGCAAACTACTGAAAGCTCTCTGAGAAAATATCAGAGAAGAGAAATGCTCTCGATGGGGAATGACTACAGAAAGGGCATGAGGTGGCTACCGTCCGCTGACCTGTTTCTGCTCTGCACCATTCAATACTGATCCATTCAAGCTTCTTACATCCTTCTGAAACCTCTTCAGCCTCCTCTCCAGTAGCCATTCTTGAGCAGCCAACCAACAGTCTGCAGTATTTGCTTTAAACACAATGACATACAACATGTGAGCAGCGGGTCAGAGCATACTGGCCTTAAAAAACCCGGAACACTAATGCCTCTCTGATAAATCTCTCCACAGCTTTTTTTTTCCTTTTCTTTTTTACAAAAACAAAACAACTGGGGGGCCGCCTTTGGGGAAAAAAGAGCAAGAAAAGCTAACCTCACCTGTATCTACAAACTAAACTGTTATAGTGAGAACATTAAATAGGAATAAATTCTTACAATGGTATCAACAGCTGCACAATATCAGAGCCAAGATCAGTTCAGGAAAAGAAAACATGAAGAGACTGAACAGGGCCCACAGAGGCACCCCAATACCCGTTAAGCTATTTGGCAGACAGCAATGCCATGCATAGCGTCTCTCCCATCCTGAAAACGGACCCTGGGTTCCATCTGGAAAAAGCGGGAACAGGCATTATTAACTGTTGGTTACTTTGGGGACTGGCAAAAACGTCTGAAAACAGAGAGGCCTGGAGACGAAGTGACTTTACTGCTTCACAGTGAAGCTGTGAAGCATTTCAGCAGCAAGGCCGAAAAGGTGTCCCAGAGCACCCGGGAGTTGGGAACGTAGCCCCTGTCCGCCCTTGGCAGCTGCCACGCCATCCTGGGGAAAGAAGACCGTTGCTTTACGAGGGCCACACTGGTGCCTCTTTGCACCCCAAAGCAGAGTTTTTTTGGAATCAAATCTGATGTGCTGTGCAGCCTTTCTGCTTGGGCATTCTGTCAGTTTAAGGATAAACAATCTGATGACAGCCCTCTTCAAATGCCCCCACCACTATGCCCCTTCTCTACCCCAGTGGTACCAGGAACAGGAAGCTCCCTGGCTCTCTCTTAGTGCATTCAGGGCAGGAGTCCATGCAAAGCCTCCATTATCCCTGCAGCCATACTGGAAAACATTGAAAGCACTGCTTAGTTCAAGAATGGGAGGCGGTGGCAAAGAAAAGAAATTATTCCAACTTCCAAACTTTAAAAAAAAAGCCAAATGTGGGCTGAGATCACGCCACAAGATTTCACTCATTCTGATTCTGAATTTTCACTGCAAGGAGCAGGGAGGCTGAAGGTCGAAAAAGGAGTGACATTTCCTTCTCCCATCTTCTGATGCCTGCTCTCTTCCTGTGGTATCACCTGCAATCTTCCAGCTAGTCATGGGAGCACACTCTGCCCTGCCGCCCCCTCTGGAAAACTGCCGATCCCGATTTAACATAATAGGCTCTGCTACAATAATTTGCCAGAATAATAGAAGTGACTTATGCAGGGTTTGGGTTAAGGTTACGCAGGCTTACAAAATAAATGGAATGTAGAACCTGTAAACAGGACAAATTCAGCCCGCCTGAGTGCTGCTACATACATGCTATTTCCCAATCTTATCGGGATTGTTTTTAAGGGAAAGCAGTTTTGCTGAAAATAAAAATATCTAATCCCCAAAGTTTTTTAAAGGTCCAAACTAATACCACGTAACTGTAGAGAGACATTATAGATTGCTATCACCGTCTACAATAGGGAAAGCTATTTTTATCACCTGTCTCAGCTCTGGTTCCAGAATTTAAAATGCAAATATACAAAATAAAATAAAATAAAATAAAAATAAAATAAAAATACAATACAATACCATACAATAAAATAGCAAGAAACTGCACAAGGGTCTGTTACTACAGCTAGAAGACTGAGGTTTCAGCAAGGGCTATACAGTGGCCTCCGAGTTGTCCTCTGAAGTCCCGCAGTTACTACTTTTCCTGAAGCTTTTCCATGTGTAGCCAAGGAAGGTGGGGCTGATGGGTAGGAAACTGAAGCATTTGTACTTCTTGATAATTTCCATGCCAAAAGGTAAATCGTAGCTTTCGAGGCCTTCAAGGGATTTACTGCCCTTGCCTGCTCCCTTCTTCCATTTCCGGATTCCTCTTTCCTCTGGGCTTCCTGGATTTTTTAAAAAAAGGGCGGAAGGACAACATCAAGATGTGAACAAGACACAAGCTCCTTTCAGGGCTTCCTCCATGTGTAGCTGAAATGGGGAGGGGGGGGGAGATGAGAGATTGGAGTTGCTGGTCCTGCTCCCCGCACTGATGTGCTGGCAGGGATGCTGGAAAAGGACGCTCCACCCAGGAGGAGCACCAGACTTTTGATACCACAGGCCCAAGGCAGAACCAGAAGCACGAAGGTCTACATGTGCCCCCCCACCACCACCAAAGGGTATGCACAGAGAACACATGGAAGCAGCCCTTCTCTCTGTACACAGGAAGCAACCCCCCCTCCCCATGCCAACTGGTTATTTGCTTCCTATAAAACAGGACCCACGGCAACACCCGGCCGGGTGGGGGGTGTCAGACAGGGAGAAGATTGCACACACACTCTGGCACAACGCTGCTTTTGTCATTCTCATGAAAGCTGCAAGATCCTGTGGACTTTATTTTTATTTATGCAATTTATAGGGCTGCCCATCTCACCATGAACAGCAGTTAAAAACAAAAGCAATGACAACATGAAATAAATAACCAGCAGCCAAGGTGAAAACCACTCAGTCAACAATTACGATAACCACTTCAGGGCTCCAACTGCCCGTCCGACCCCCATACCTAGGAACACAGCTGCACAGTTGGGGCCAACCTGATCGGGGGGTGAGGGAATGGCGTTCTGCAGGCAAGCGCTGCAACAGGCTACTTGAGGGACCGCCTCGCCCCCACGATTTCAACCCGTCCCACCCGATCTCACAGAGAGGGCAT